GAAGATTTCAGAGAATCGAAACAGAAGGTCTAGTAATTGATTATGCTAGTAGCATCATTTTGTCTGCATCCGATTAAAATACCAAGTCAAAAAAGAGGGCATGTTGCAATGTTCAACAAGACCGAGGAAAAATGACATTTTAGTGGTCGAAACCTTAGAAAATAGGAAGCCAACTCATCAATTTGGACATTTATGAAAGAGTTATAAGTCTGAAAGCATTAAAGAGCTATTGATTCTTTTAATTTTCTGTGAACTCATGTTTATGAGTTGATCCGATTGTGAGCTTGAATTAAGGGGTAATGTTTTACAAAATTCTTATATTCTTTTTTTTCCTAAAATAAAAGAAATTAGAAAAATATTTTCAAACAGGACAATTTCAAATGTGAAAGGTCCTTGAAGCTGTTGAGGCTCATTTCGCCTCTATTTAAGAAAGAATAAACAATGCCAAATTTTGAGCATTTCTAATTCTTGAAAGCAATCAATCTGAGTGATCAGACAGAACTTATAACACTCCCTTGTAACATTGTCAACAACCTAATAAGGATATGGGGCATGGTCGATTCCAAGGACAAAACCAGTAGACAAAAATGAGGCTCCAACCAGGAGACAAAACAAGAGTTAATTCATGTTGCATACATCTTAGGCATACTTAAGAGTATCACATTTATCATTTTTTTAGCATACATAATTTTTTGTAGCTTTTAAATTCAAGTTTCAACTTCAAGATGAAAGATACTTGATTTAAAAGCACCTTCAAAAAAGGTCAATGACGTTGGCTTGCCTCAACAAAGAGAAGCTACACCTCAACCAACTTGACCAATTGAAAGAGCGACAGATTTTAGAATTAACTCCAAACGAGTTCAAGAACCAATTCAGAACGGATCTAGTTCAGCTTAACTCAACGATGAGTGGCTAGCTTTCAATTAACGCCTTCAAGCCAGACTTCAACTCCACAACAGACGATATCCGACTAATAGAATCTACCATTTGGCTTTCCTATGAAGGGAAGTCATCTAAATAATTATGATCAGCTAAGACCCGCGAAGGGGGTCATCATTCATTTAGATGAAATTTACATCACAACTTAAGCCGAGAAAAGTTGTCTATCAACAAACAACTCTCCAGTTTCATTCAAAGTCAATTTCAACTTCACAGCAAAAGATATTGAACTCGAAAGCAATGCAATTTTGGATTTCAACTTCACAACAAATGACATCCAATTCAAAGTTCAACTTCACAACGAATTATCCATCCACGATTTCAACTTCACGAATAAGGATATCGTGCCCAAGTGGATTGACTTAGTTTTATAGCAAATGAGTCATCTATAACAATAGGGGGTTATCTCTCAGCCTATTACAGTATAGCTCAAGGCGAGAAGGGCTATCTGTCAACAAAAATCTTCGAGTTCGATTACATTCAGCTCAAGGCCATATCAAATTTATAGCATATATCAAGGCGAGAAGAGCTATCTATCAACAAAAACCTTCGAGTTCGATTCTATTCAGGTCAAGGGCATATTAAATTTACAGCATAGTTTAAGGCGAGAAGGGCTATCCGTCAACAAAAAACTGTCAAGTTCGATTACATTCAGCTCGATGACATATCAACCGCATGGTAGGAGCGAGGAACTACTTTCCAGTTAAAGTTTAAATCGAGGTCTTTAAGTCAAGAAGAAAATCCGGGGCAATCTTTTAGCCTAGTACAATATAGCTTAAGTCGAGAAAAACTATTTGTAAATGAAAACGTTCGAGTTCGGTTTCATTCAGCTCGAGGGCCTATCAACCATATGGTAATGTTAAGGAACTACTTTCCAATCAAATTTTCAAAACAAAGACCATGGTTGACTACGATTTGGCAACAATAAGCTACCTCCTTATTCAAATTCCGAACTACGGTTTCAATTTCATGAAGAATGATATCATTTCAAGACTGACTCGACTTCGCGATGGAGGAGTCATTCGTAACTCAATTTAACATGAAGTTATTCCTAATTGCAATATCAGAGTCAATCTTCAACTCCACAAGGGAGGATATTAGACTCAGGGACCTCCTCATACCGAACGAAAATTTATGTCATTTTATCTTTGTCTTATTTTTCGTTACACGAAAAAGGACAAAGAGGGGCAGTTGTAGACACTCATTTTCGTCCGAAGCCTTTTTTATATATATAATAATATAATATAATTTTTGAAAATATTTTTCGAAAACATATAACATATAGTTGTTAAAACAGTTTCGAAAATACGATTTAAAAACATATATTATATAATTTTGAAAATATTTCTGAAAACATATATAATATATAGTTTTTGAAAACATTTTGAAAATATATATATAATATATAGTTTTGAAAATATTTTTGAAAATACGTATAATATATAGTTTTGAAAATGTTTTTGAAAACGTATATAATATATAGTTTTTAAAAATGTTTTTGAAAATATTATATAGTTTTGAAAATAATTTTTTAAAATATATATTATATAGTTTTGAAAAAACGTTTTGAAAGCGTTTTGAAAAATATATAATATATAATTTAGAAAATATTTTCAAAAAAATATATATAATATATGATTTTGAAAACACTTTTTAAAATATATGTAGTATGTAATTTTCATTACATTTTATTTATTTTTTTCTCATTTATTTGTTTGTTTGTTTTTATTTTTTCTTTCTCTTTTTTTTTTAGGGTCCAAAACAACCCAATCGGGTTTAGGCCTAAACCATCCCAATAGAGGTATAGGGTTTTCACATTTCAACCAAGGCGCCGCACAAATGAAGGCCCTTGGATCAGGGCACGAATGGACGGTTAAGATCATATGCAACTAGGGAAACAAAACCTTAAATTTTATATCACTCGCTCATCCAGATCTGGACCGTCGGATCTGACCTAATCTAACGGTTGAGATCAAATCAATAAGGTTTCAGAAACTCGAAATCCACCAACGGCAGCGCGTGGGCATCACGCGCCGACAATATTACCAGTCGGCCGAAGATTTCAGCAATTTGAAGCACAAAATTCAAAGCAACTCGAACTGAACCATCTGAGATCTTCGATCAACCAAATAACAACCCCGAAGATCAGAGCAACTCGGACTGAACCATCCGAGATAACCGGGAATAACCCCGAGATAATCAGGAGCAACCCCAAAGCAATTGGAAATGGCCCGATGCGAGCCTATAAATACCCTGCAAGAACAACATCGGAGGACCATAAACACGAAAATAGAGCTGAAACAACGACCAACACAAATCGACATAGAAACCAAGCAACATAATACCCAAAAAAACGAAAGCAAAAGAATTAAAATACCAAGAAAAATATTACACAAACCACAAAAATACATATCAAAAAAGAAGAAAGTGCCTCGATCTTGGCTCGGGAAGGAAGCAGTCGCCGGTAGTCGAAGGGATTCATCAAAAAAGGTGAGAACCAAGTGATTCTTTTTTAGATCTACGATTATTGGGGTTTATTTTGGAGATTTGGGGCTCAATTTTAGGTTCACGGGGCCGTGGGGGTTATTTTGGGGGTTACTTGTTTTTTCGACCACCGGCGGCGATCGGTGGCCACCGGGCGATGGCCGGCCATCGGGGCTGGTTGAGGGGAAGAGAGAGTGGTTAAGAGAGTTTTTTTTTGGTTTTTCCCCCAAGTTAGGTTAAAATGAGTTTTTTTTCCAGTTTAGGGCTATTTATAGTCGAGGGACTTGTATATAATTAGCTAATAGTTAAATTATTTCTGTAGTCCCTGTACTTTTGAAGTGTAATTCATTTTGGTCACCTGTTTCAATTTTGTCTCTGAATTTTTGATTTATTCAATTTAATCCCTGTTTACATTTTTTATATTTTGCAAATTGGCCCCCTAACTTTTTTTTTCTCTTACAGCTCATTTTTAGCATCAATTTGATCCATGAATTTTAATTTATTTGAATTTAGTCCTTTAAGTTTTTATTTCATTCTTTTTTTTGTTATTTAATTTAACATTTCCTTTTTTCTTGATTTTAAAAATTAACATTTTTTATTCTTTTTATTATTTATTTATTTTTTTATTTATCTCCTTTTAATTTTTATTATCATTTATTATTATTATTATTTTTAAAAAATTATTTTTTTCTGTTAATATGATTTTATTTACTATATTTTAACCCTTTTTAAAAAAAATCTTTTTTTTCCTCTTTTTATTTAATATTTATTTATTTCTATTTTTCAATTTAACATTTTTTTACTTTTTCAGTAGTAATTTCAATCGATCAAAGGTAAGTAGTTCGATTTGAATTTTTAAATTTTAATTTTAATTTTCGCAATTAAGACAACCGACAAATTAATTGGTACCGAAAGGGCAGTACAAGGGTGCTAATCATTCTTTGATTGTAACCGACTTCCGAACCCAACATATTTCTGGTAAAACACAGATCATGTAAGATGGTGTCCGATCAACCTAAATATTGTTTTTAAATGATCGGTGGCGACTCTAACACTTTTATTTCAAGTTGGAGCCCAATTCTGGGCCCACCCAAAAGACGGCTGCGACAAGGTACTAAAAGCGTTAAATTTTTAACTGAAGGTACTAAAATGAAATAAAATCTAAACATTGATACATTTTAAAAAAATGAAAGTTTTTAATACTATAACGACAAAAACTAATAGTTTATATACTAATCACGTAATTTATACAAAAATTTAACACAGTTGGGAAAGAAAAAACACACAAGGCCGCATCATTGGGCCCGTCTCTTTTACGTCGGAAAAGAAAATCAGAAACCCAAATGAAAGCTCAACCCACGAACTTCAACTTACCAAATACCTAAAGAATTCAAAATGACTTTTCTGTGTGGAGATCTTTCTAGATATCGCTAGTCGTGGTTGGACCATTCAATTACATGTACTCGCTTAGAACTGTATAAAATAACAGGAAAACCCTAAATATAAATAAAATCAATTTTATTAAGAATAAAATCGATAATTCACACAAACTCTCGTTAATAAAGCGCCCTTAACTCTCTCTCATGGCTCCCTGACGTTGTTTCCATAATACTCTCTGGAACGCATAAGAAATTTCCAGTACCCCTTTATCCCCCTATATTCCCTTTGAAGGTATGATCGTGGCCCTTTGCGCTTTACTGTTTCGTCGATTTTGTTGATTGTTGTTGTTGTATTTACTTTTTGCCGTCGGGAATTCGTAGATCTGTTTAATACTAGATTTGACGCGTCGGTTGAGTATTTTGTTTTGGAAAAATTCACATTCATATTTGTTTCTCTTCAGATTTAGCTGTTTCCAGAGGATCAGGTAGTTTCATCATTCGATTTCTAACTTTTTTGTTCGTTTTAGATGAAAAATAGCTCATTTTTTAAGTGATATTCGCTTGTGTTCTTTTGTATTTCTTCTTCGGTTTCAACTCCCTTTTCTCGTTGGAAATTCTTTGATGTTAATGTTAGTTATTTTAGGTTGATTTGAACGCTATTTCGAGTTTGTCATCGCTAGCAGTTTTCATTTCTGAATAATTTTAGTTAAAGGAGGAGTGTTCATTTTGGATTGATATGTAATTGTAAAAGTTTCGGTGTTTGTTTCTAATTATTTGATTCATGTATGTGCAATACTTGTATATTTATTTAGTTTTTTTCCAACTGAAGTGCTTTGTTGTATGTATTAAAGAGCAATCACCCTATGAGCTCAAGGATATGGAAGTTGACATGGAATTTTGAGCAGCAATTTGTTGCTTATAAAAAAGGGACATATACTTATATCACCTCCGTTGATGTGATGTGTTACTAATTAATTGTGCACATATGGTGCTCCAATTGCTATATTTCGTGACTCCATGAACTCACAATTAGTGGTAATATACTTTTATCACTGTGATTGATGCGATATGTTATTTATTAAATGTGTGATTACTACAGTAGATAGGTTTCATGCTTTAATATCCATATTTACGTGTATATTCATACAGAGACATAAAATACATACGTGTAATCTCATTGCCTTGTTTTATTGGATGCCAGATTGATTTGATTTATGAAGTAAAGTCTTTTTATTTCTGCTGAAAATGAGTGTTGTTGGGTTTGATTTTGGCAATGAGAGCTGCATTGTTGCTGTTGCAAGGCAAAGAGGAATTGATGTTGTGCTTAATGATGAATCAAAGCGTGAAACTCCAGCTATTGTTTGCTTTGGGGACAAGCAGAGGTTCATTGGTACTGCAGGGGCAGCATCTTCTACAATGAACCCTAAGAATTCAATTTCTCAGATCAAACGGTTAATTGGCCGTCAGTTCTCAGATCCCGAGTTGCAAAGAGATCTGAAGTCATTGCCCTTTAATGTCACTGAGGGCCCTGGTGGTTATCCTTTGATTCATGCTCAGTATTTAGGTGAAATAAGAGCTTTTACCCCAACCCAAGTTTTGGGAATGGTTTTTTCGGATTTGAAAAGCATAGCTGAGAAAAATCTGAATGCAGCTGTGGTGGATTGCTGCATTGGAGTTCCTGTTTACTATACTGATCTTCAAAGAAGAGCAGTCTTAGATGCTGCCACAATATCAGGCTTGCACTCGCTTCGCTTGATTCATGAAACTACAGCAACAGCATTGGCTTATGGTATTTATAAAACTGATTTACCTGAAAATGATCCATTAAATGTTGCCTTTGTTGATATTGGACATGCTAGCATGCAAGTCTGTATTGCTGCCTTCAAGAAGGGGCAACTCAAGATCTTGTCTCATTCGTTTGACCGCTCTTTGGGTGGTAGGGATTTTGATGAAGTTCTGTTTAAGCATTTTGCTGCAAAATTTAAAGAGGAATACAAGATTGATGTCTTCCAGAATGCTAGGGCTTGTATTAGGCTTCGGGCAGCTTGTGAGAAGCTAAAGAAGGTACTTAGTGCCAATCCTGAGGCTCCTTTGAATATTGAGTGTTTGATGGATGAGAAGGATGTTAGGGGTTTCATCAAGAGAGAGGAGTTTGAGAAGATCAGTGCTCCGATTTTTCAACGTGTGAAAAGACCACTTGAGAAAGCTCTTGCTGATGCTGAACTTGCTGTTGAAAATGTTCATATGGTTGAGGTTGTTGGCTCAGCCTCTCGTGTTCCTGCTATGCTGAAAATCCTCACAGAGTTCTTTGGTAAAGAGCCTAGGCGCACAATGAATGCTAGTGAATGTGTTGCAAAAGGTTGTGCTTTAGAATGTGCAATTCTCAGTCCCACATTCAAAGTTCGAGACTTTCAGGTAATTTTTTTAATAAGTTATTGCGATAATTTTGTTGTCTATATTGTGTGTTATCTCAGCTGTGCGTTTTCTTGGTTCATTATCTAGAATTTGATTGTATATTGGTATGTTTTCAAGCTGTTACTTTTCTGTTTCCCCTTGATGCAAGATTTTTTCTTGCACCTTTTTCATTCCTCATGTTTCCATTATTGTTGATCCATGTTGTATGGTCAAATGCTTGTACTTTTTCCTCCTTTTGCTGTATTTTATACACAGCTGTTCTCTTAATACCTTTTATTTGAAAAGGTCAATGAGAGCTTCCCATTCCCAATCTCACTATCATGGAAGGGTTCTGGTCCAGATGCTCAGACTGGTGGAGCAGAACAACTGGTTTTTCCAAAGGGAAATTCGATTCCCAGTGTCAAGGCTGTGACATTACACAAATCTAGTACTTTCACTGTTGATGTCCAGTATTCTGATGTTAGCGATTTGCAGGCCCCGGCAAAGATCAGTACCTACACGGTAATAAATTCATAAACCTTAATCGAACTCTTCTGATTAGCCTTTCCTGTCTTTTTTATTTCAGCATGAGGCTAATTTGTTTTTTGTTCAACTTTTTCATTTGTTATAACTTGTGGCATTTGTTAAATGGCAGATTGGCCCTTTTCCAACAATAAGAAATGAACGACCAAAATTGAAGGTCAAAGTTCGTCTGAATTTGCATGGGATTGTGTCCCTCGAGTCGGCAACAGTAAGTAGTTGTTGAATTAACTTGTTCAAATTTAATTATATCCGAGTGTGATTCTTCTTTTTCTTGCTGTCCTGACTTTTTGTAATTTTAGCTCTTGGAAGAGGAGGAAGTTGAAGTTCCGGTTTCAAAGGACCCTCAAAAGGATGATTCTAAGATGGAGACTGATGAACCACCAAGTGGTACTTCTGCTCCTAGTGCCAATGAGACGGATGTTAACATGCAAGATGCCAAGGGTACAGCTGATACTGCAGTGACTGAAAATGGTGTTGCTGAGCCTGGTGACAAGCCTGTGAAAATGGAGACTGATACTAAAGTAAGTTATTTTTATCTGTAGTATATGCCTGAACTGCCAGAGTTGGTGGTTCAGACTTCAGTCTTCTGAGGCAAGATAACTCCTGATTCAAAATGTTCAGTGTGATTGGTACTTATGTGGAATACTTTTGGGGCCCTGGTTTCTTGCATGGTTTGGTCAGTTGGTTTATGTTCGTTGTTCTGCCTGTCGCATAGGTTGAAGTTCCCAAGAAGAAGGTGAAGAAAACAAATGTGCCAGTGGCAGAGTTGGTCTATGGTGCAATGTTAGCTGCAGATGTTCAAAAGGCAGTAGAGAAGGAATTTGAAATGGCTTTGCAAGACAGGGTTATGGAAGAAACCAAGGATAAAAAGAATGCTGTTGAGGCTTATGTATATGACATGAGGAATAAGGTATGATGTTGTCTACTAGTTTTCTGAATCCTTGAACTGTTTCTTTGCTATTATGATCTTCAAACTAATTATTCCTTCTGTCATCACTCTTCAGCTTAGTGATAAATACCATGATTTTGTTACTGCTCCGGAGAAGGAAGAGCTTATGGCTAAGCTTCAGGAAACTGAGGATTGGCTGTATGAAGATGGAGAGGATGAAACAAAGGGTGTATATGTTGCCAAGCTTGAAGAGCTTAAGAAGGTGATTCTTGTTCTTCTTCAGACTTCTCAGGTTGATTTTATGCATCATTTACCTGACAGATTGTCTAAATTTTGAAGCAAGGGGATCCTATTGAAGAACATTACAAGGAGTATACCGAGAGGGAAATTGTCATCGATCAACTTGCTTACTGTATTAACAGTTACAGGGAGGCTTCCGTGTCCAATGATCCCAAATTTGATCACATTGAAATTGCTGAAAAGCAAAAGGTGGCTGCTTGGTCCCTTCACACTCTTCACTCCCTTCTGTTAGTAATTGAGATCTAATCCTTTTGATGCATTGCAATTAATAGGTGTTGAATGAGTGCGTGGAAGCCGAGGCCTGGCTGAGAGAGAAAAAACAACAGCAGGACCAACTTCCCAAGTATGCCACTCCAGTTCTCTTGTCTGCTGATGTGAGAAAAAAAGCTGAAGCACTAGATAGGTAACACCACTATTTCACATGCTTACGGTTTTGTCCTCATGTATCTTATATCATACATGTTGTTGTCTATGTTTGATATGATGCCTGGTGCTGAGATATGAAATTGTGGTAAACAGGTTTTGCAGGCCGATAATGATGAAACCTAAGCCAGCTAAACCAGCCACACCTGAAACACCGGCAACCCCACCACCCCAGGGAAGTGAGGTTCAGCCCCAGGGTGCAGATACCAATGCTAACCCAAATGCAAGCCCCAACTGCAACAATGCGCCTGGTGAAAATTCATTCCCAGGCAGCGGTGAGGCACCTCCGGCTTCTGCAGAACCAATGGAAACCGACAAGTCGGAGGGTGTTTCTAGTACTGCATAAATCATTAGCTTGGTTGGTGTGCGTTCTTATGTTGACCACTATTTTCGAGAGAGCTTGAGACCAACTCTTGATCCGCTTGGATAGGTTATCGGGTGTGTTATGTAGGGTCATAATTTCGAATTCGTAAAGCCCTTCACTTTGCATTGCTTGCCGAGATTTGTTTTTATTAAGACCGAGTCAATAGAATCCTGGTTTTTATCAAAGATGCTTTTCAAGAGAAAAAAATATACCCCTATTATTATGGTTTCCTTGCTCACATTGTTTTTGTTAGTGGGAGGTTAGAAGTTTACACTTGCAAAGGATATACCAAGTGCTAAATGTTTAGGATTTTGTGGTGGGTAAGTGTCAACAATTCTGCTGTGGGTACTGTTATTGGATTTTCTTCAATTCGGATTTCACTTAATTTCCGGATGTTAATTCTTTTGATGTGTTCGACTCTCGACCGATGTGATCGATGATTGAATGGATTTACCTTCCAGATTTTTCAATTTTTTGGAATATTTTCCTGGAATATTTAGTTCTATTTCAATGCCCTATTTTCTCAATCGTTCATTCTCGATTTCGTCGGTAAGTTAATTCTTGGTTCTTAGTCTCTAAGTTAGTCAAATTTTACCATTAATTATATTATCATACAGAAGATGTGGGTTTTGCGCTGCTCTCTTTGAATTTCGAAATCAGTTCCTATCAAAATAATGTAGTTACGATATGTCTATGGCTTTGAAATGATCCTGTTGAAGAATAGGACCAACATGATGTTTTTTAATAAAAAAAATATTAATGAGCTAGTATGGTAGACAATAGAAGAATTAGAGACCTAAATAAAAAATGTGAAGTCAAAATAGACTTTGAGGTACAATCAAACATAAATGAAATTCATAATTTCTGTGTAAACATGCCAAATAAGCTTTAGCGTTAAGTCTGGATGAAGCTTTTCTATGGAATCGAGAGTGTCGGCAACGCGTATCAAATGTGAGGCTTCGTTACTTTTATTCGACACCAAACCCAACCGCACCCCCAGAAAAAAAAAGACACCAAACGTATGCCTCCCAGTTCATATTTCTTCAAAAATAGAATCCAGAAAAGCTTTGTTACTTTTGGAAGAGTTGGATGAAGAGGGTTTCCTCTTCCTATTTGGAAGAGTTGGATGAAGAGGGTTTCCTCTTCCTAGCCCGTCAGTGAAAAGGCAAAGAAATGTGAAGCTGCAAGTGAAGTGGGTTACGTCAGGAACTGAGTGCGGCCGTGCAGGTGATAATTAGAGGCGTTTCTAACAAGGTAATCGCATGAAACATTTATCAACTCATCTTGGACCTGAAAGTTGTTTGATGTCAACTCTTAAAAGGTGGGCTAAGTTCCAGATACCCCGTCTTTCTTTTATGCCTGTTTCTTACTGCAATTGCCGGAAAATATAGTCGACTCATCGCAGGTAAAAAAAATGAGTGCAGGGAAGTTGAAGAAATTTGAGGATTCGGAACCCGTAAAATTTATGCAATCCACTGTATTACCTTCTCATACAACACCAAGACATCTAAGCACTCAGCCATTCACCTCAAAAAACAATGATGTTTACCTAAGCACGTATATTTTTCAAGCTTGAATGTCGGAGAAAGTTACTGCCAAAAGCGCAAAAGAATAGCAGGTGAACCATAACATACAATTGTGCTAGTGACAAAGGGAGTAATGATCTTCTCAAAATTCAGAAAAAGTTTCTACTTAACTTTGAACGGTACGGTACAACAACCGTGTTATTATTGTCTATCATTATAGCAGTTTGCAAAAGGCACCCATATAGTACAACAACATTTAGCAGTCAAAATCAGATGAACGTTATAAAGAAGATAACTGGAGTTTTAATTACCACTAGCATTCTCGGAAGAGACATCATTCGCCTCATCATCACCGCACTGCATTTTTGCGATTTCAGCTTGCGTTCTCTCCATAATCTGCCTCTTCTGCATTTCCAACTCTGTGTGAAAATCCGTTCTCATCTTCTCTAATTCCAACATCTGCTGCCTTTTATTATTCTCAATCTTTTCATATATGTCGCTAAATTTCTTAATTGAATCTGCAAGAAGTCTGACTGAAGAACCCTCACCAGATTGCCACCCGAACCTTCTCTTTTTAGGTGGCAGTCCATCTGAGACATCCTCTTCATCAGAGGATTCAGAATTTGCTGGACTTACCCTCATTTCATCCAAACAGTTTTCACGGTTCAAATAAGCCCGAGGGTTCATGAATACATATTCACCTGAGTCGAACCCACAAGAGAGCTGGCCCTGTTGTGGAGGACTTGACATCAACATATCCATCTTCTTGAAATAAACCCATTTGCTAGTGGTAGCACCGGTGTCTACCAGCATAGCCTTCTCCTTTTTATATTTCTTCTTCAATGTGTCCAACCGATTCCGGCATTGTGTCTCGGTCCTTTCAATCTTTGATATCTCTGAAACCTTTTGTAACACCCCCAAACAATGAAGTATAATTTCACCTACCCAATAATAAATCATATCTGGTTGTATCATAGTAGCCTAGTGGGTCCTGCAAATGTGATAGTGATTTGGTTGCAATCTTCTACCTTATCTCATTAAATAATAGTTTATTCAAAATATTTGGAACCATTCATTGATAAGATATTGTGATGAAAAGTCATATTTGAAACAGAGAACCAATAATCCATTTCGGTTACTCTATAATTTGATGAATAGACCAACAAAGCAATTAAATGATGTTAATAGAAAAAGAAGGAAATAGAAAGGATTCAAAGGAAAAACAATCAGGTGGCCTTTGGAAATGAAGTTTGATAATTAGAGCAATATGTTCGTTCGGGGTCGCTGCTGCTACCGTTTGCATCATCATCTTCAGAACTCAACAGATCAAAAACAACACCAGCAGTACCAGAAATTTCTGTTCCAGGGTTACACTGATGACAAAGAACCATTTATGAATGTTATGACTACAGCTGGAAATGAACATAGCACAACGCAAATAGGGAAAGAAGAAATAGGTTGATCCTATATCACGAACGAGGCATCAGAAAGGGAAGTTATGGAGGGTATCTAGCCAACGTCGATCTGTCGTAGCTAAGTCTGCCGCGCCTTGGAGCTTCCTCAATTAAGAACTGGTCAAAGGGTCCAAAGCAAATTCGAAGGCATACGAGGCAGCCATGGTTTCTACTTCAAAATTCGAATGGAGATAAGCGAACTGGATGGGAACATAGAGAGCCTCGGATCTGAAACACTTTTTGTAGATCTGCATCTATTTATAAATATTCTCGATGATCAGAGACTATATTTGTGATAAGGAGAATGAGATGATTCGAACGGAATAATTTGGTTTTCGACTGGCGGTCACTGACGACGGCCGATGTGGTATCCACCGATGGTTAATGGCGGTCGATGATCTGCCGTTGGAACCTCCTTGCTTGAGATATGAAAAGAGCACTGAAAAAAAAATATAGAAATGGCGATGGTAGCGTGAGATGAAGAAGTTTCATAATTTCTTTTGAAAATCACGTGTGTGGGGTGTTAAGATAGCAAGATGGACAAATCATAGTTTCAGTCCTCTATGTTTGGTAAGGTTCTAACTTGTCCATCAGTTTTAATAAAATTTCAACCAAGCTATGATAGTTTAAATTAATTCAATCTAGTACCTGATTTTAGTTATTAAATATTTTAACGACTTTGAAAGTTTTTGTTTAATCATTTGGGTTTCCAAATTATTATTTCAATTCTAATAAGCTATCTTTATGGCAAGGAAATTATTTGAATACGAGTTAAAATATTTTGATGGTTTGGATCGAGAGGAAAATATTGGAAGTTGAATTAAAGATCGAGGGCGTTCGAATGAAATTTAAATGGTCAATCAGTATTGCACGGAAATCGAGGTAATACTTTACTACCCCTTTATGCTTTATGGAACATGTTGATATTGCTAAATGCATGAATAAGATAATGTTGATCACTTTTGTGGAGTTGATTAATTTATACACTCGATATGAATGTGGTAGAAATTCGATAATTGAATTCGGATCGAATGATTAATATAAGAGATTGAGGGAATGTTAGAATTAAATTACAAGTTGTGTGATTTGTGATAAAGAAATCATCCATGGATTTGTAACTTATATTTTAAAGGATAAATGTTAAAGGTACTTGGGTGGGAAATTATGAGAATACTCCGGTAGGGTAAGATTACGAAAATACCCTTATATTGTAAGATGACAAGAATTGTCCCTGGAAGTTGGTTAATAACTCTGAAAAGACATATTGATCCGATATAATTACAGATGTGCATAAGAAATGCTAGTTTTACTTAGAAAATTTGGATAATTGGTTTTTAACCCTAAAAGGGTTTGTATAAGATACTATAAGTCTGTTAAGGAATCATTTTGAGATCAAAGAATGTTCGGGAAAGCAATTAACCATTGGATCTCTAAAGTATAGTTATTTTCGTTAAGAGTTAATACATAAATTATCTGATTAAGAAATTACGAAAATGCCCTTGAGAGGTAAAAATAGTCCAAGTTGACTCTGAATGAGGAAGTAACATGAGAATTTGTTTTTAAACCGATAAATTACTGATTTGATTGTTGAGATCCTATTTTTGTATGGAAAATTTTGATAATCCGTTAGTAACATCTGAGAATGCATTTAACTTGGAAATATCTTAATTGAGTAAGTACGTGAAGAATAATAATTTATCGATGGTGATATTTTGTCAGAATAGTTCAAAGGGACTGACATAAATGATAAATTTGAATTAAATAATAAGATCGAACGAAAGGAAATGATTGAAATATTCTAGATTTGTAAAATGACCAAAATACCCCTGGAATGGAAATGACTCAAGAATGTCACCAAGCTCAGGAATGAATAGATATACTCAAGCTTTGAAATGAATAGAAAAATATTGAGCACCAAGATGACCAAAAGACCCTATTGGCCTAGAATAAGTAAATGTCTTGGATTAATTAAGGAATCCAAATAAACATGGATGTTGTACTGCTCTTAAAAGTTATGGAACGCATCTTAAGTGATCAACCAACGTTATTGCTATATCATTACCTGAATGATATAAGTACCACTTTAATGTTTGTTCATCTTCTCAAATTTGGATCGATGATAATTCTAGAAGTACTTGGCTCAGCTCAACTCTAGAGTGCATACAGTACTAATAAGTGGGTATTCGTGAGTCAAATCTACCACGAATACCAGAATAACTTTATTATATGAGTAAATTGAACTGAAATGAAGTACAAAGTGTATTTGAAATTCAGAAACGTCTGAATTATTCTGGAAAACTTTAAAGTAATCGGGATAGACTTGCTTACTAAACGAACTAAGTAACATCAATGACTAAGGATTAAATAGGTGATTTGATGAGTTTGGAAACACTGTTGAACTTACA